AGCTGAAGCAATAAATAAGGCTGAAGAATGAAAAAACTGACAAAAAGGTCTTTTGAATGATGAAATCAAACAAAAATCATTAATGTTGCAAAAGTCTGATAAAATGCTTGAAGAGGAAATTACAAAGAATGCAAAGTTACAAGAAGAATTAGCCCAAAAATTAGAAATGTTAAGAAAGAATGATCAGAGATTTGAGGATGAAGCAAAAGAAAGAGAAGAACTAAAAATACAACTATATTTAGAAAGAAAACCCTTGCCTGCTCTACCTAAAGAAGAAAATAATACTTTAACTAAGCAAAACACTTTCAAGCAATTAAAAACAAAGACAAGAGTCAAGGTTCAGCAGTTGCAGAAATTAATCAAAAGAAAGAAGTTTCACAGTCAAGCACTTGTTACTAAAATAGAAGTTCCAGTTAAGTAACCATGAGAGAACTACTCTACACAATCTTAGAGTTAGAAGGATGACATAGCAGTAATTCTACTTGTGTTTTTTGCCCTGATTTGAAAAAAGCAGTTTGTCAAATCAGAACATGAAGCAAAGCAACTGGTGAAATGGTTGAAAGTGATAAGGCTTGTGAAAATTGCAAAGAGAAATTTGAAAATGATGAGTTGCCTAAATGTAATTGTGGAAGGCTAAAGTCTAGATACACTTGTGATTGTAAAGAAAATGAAAATAAAAAAGAACTTCCTCTTTTACCTCACCAAAATGGGGGAATGGCACTTTTTTATGAAACACAAATAAATGGTTTGAGGAAAGAAAAAAATCAACTAACTGAGGAAGTAGAAACTCATTTAGAAGCTTTGGAAGTGGCTGAAGATTGGCATAAAAGACAAAAACAAGAGTTATTGGATAGAATTAAGCATTTAGAAGAGGAAAATAAGTAACTAAAAGAGTTAACTCCTCAAGAATTAATAAAAGAAATCAATGATTTAAAATTTTAATTAACCCAATTACAACAGCAAAATGGTCAATTAGTTGCTCAAATTGAAGTTAAACAAACTAAAAAATGACCTTGATTGAAAATAAAAGGTAATTAAAAATTAACAAAGTTGAAATAATTTGTTTAGTTATTCTGCCAGTTTTCTTTTTTTTCTTGATTCTTTACTAGAATTCTCTAATACTCTTTTGAAAATTCTTTCTTCTTGGTAAATTTCATAGGTAATTTTTTCTTTGTCTAAATATGTTTGCAAAGATTTGGTGTCTGCTAATTTAAAAATGTAAGGAGCAATTTTTTCACCTTGTTCCTTTTTTAGAATACTTCTAATGGTGCTGTAATTCTTGGGTTCCATAGTAGATCTGATATAAATGAGTTTCATATTAACTATTTTTATATAGGAGTAGTACTATATATCACTTGAGAAACAGGAAAGGTAACAAAACGGGACATTATAAAATTGTTAATTGCATTACATTTGTGATGAATAACTAAATTTTGATCCCTGAAATTCTTGGTAATACCAATGTTCACTTTGTCTGGTTTTGTTGCAGCATGCCCCATATGTAGTAATATTAAAGGAAAAGAATTAAATTTTTCTTGAATTAGATTACATAATCCTTATTATTTAAAATATAAGTCAATAATAGAAATCTCAATATCATTTTTATCTAAACATCTTTAGATATATTGAATTATAAAATAGGGTTTTGAGATCACAATAATCTTTATTTTATACTAAATTTTAAATGTAAATAATAGTTTATAAAATTAAGTTAAGTTTTTTAATGTTTTTCTTATTATTCTTTTTTAGTTCTTTATTTTCTTTAAAAAGCTAGAAGATATGTTTTTTATATTTAACTATTTTTAATTCAAATGTGTCATCTTCAGGTTTATACTTTTTTTTATATCTATTTTACTTATAATAGTTTCTAATTTATTTAACTTAACAGTTTTTGAGAAGTGAACATAAATATTATTTCACTTTATCTAAAAAATAAATAAAATAATTAGATCATTATGAAGATTAATAAGTATTTTTATAATTATATTCAATTTAAATAAAAATATTTTAAGTATTAAATAAATCTCAATATGACTATTTATCAATATATAATAATTTTGCAAATTCATCATTTTCTGTATAATCTAAGATTTATTTGCATAAATAAAGTTATTGAGAGAAATTTTATTCAATTAATAATTATTTAAGATAGGATTATTTTTTAATTTAATAGAAGGTCATGTAGATTTAGAATATTAGTGAAAAAGTATAGATTAGTTAAGTCAAATATAATGTATTTATCATGAATAAAATAAATTTTTAGTTTTAGTAAAAATGCAAAATAATTCTTGAAATGTATTATTTTAACTATTGATAAAGATTTTATATTTAATGGTCTTTAAGAATAAACTTTCTTTTATAATCTTGAGAATCATATTTTAGAATGAAATAATAAACATACATTTTAGTATCTAGAGTTATTTAAATTAACTATTTATTATTAAATATAATTAGATTTTCATTTTTAGCAACTTTAAGATTTTTATTAGTATAAAAGTACATAAAAACACATTGTAAATTATAAAAGTTAAAAGGATTTTAGAATAACCTAAATTATTATATTAACATTTTACTGATTAGTTCAAGTTTATAGCTGATGGTATCATTATTATTAAATATTTTTATATAAATAGAAGTAGTTTATCAATATAAACAAATATGAGTAAACTTGTTTAGTAATAAATTTTTAATAAATAAATTGTTTAGTATATATGCATTGACAGAAGTAATACTATTCTTTTGTTTATTAATTAATTGATTACACATACTATTGTATATTTCTGAAAATAAGCATCCCGTAACACATTCTTTTTATAGTAATTTATTTATTTGTCACATAGAATTTTTTAAAGCTCTGAACAGTTCAGATTAATCTGAAAATTTTCAGTTCAGATCAACTTCGGTTCAGTTTCAGATTGCAAAAAATTCAATCCAAAAATTTTTGGTTCAGTTCGAATTTTTTTCGGATTATAAATCTAATCTGAACTGAAAAAAATCTGAACTGAACTGAAAATTTTAGATTAATTCAAAATTTCAGATCATTTGAAACGATTAAATTTATCATTCTTTTAAAACGATTGAAGTTATCATTCCAAACGAATGATAAGAAAATTGTTTGATTGAAACGATTAAATTATTGTTCCAAACGAATGATAAGAAAATCATTTGATTGAAATGATAAAATTATTGTTCTAAACAAACGATAAAAGAATCGTTCTAAATAAATGATAATAGAATCGTTCGATTGAAATGATTAAATTATCGTTCTAAACAAACAATAAAAAAATCATTCATTTGAAACGATTAAATTATCATTCTAAACGAACGATAAGAAAATTGTTTGATTAAAATGATTAAATTATCATTCTAAACGAACGATAAGAAAATCGTTCAATTAGAACGATGAAATTATTGTTCCAAACGAACGATAAAAGAATTGTTCAATTGGAACGATAAAATTATCATTCTAAACAAACAATAAAAGAATCGTTTGATTGGAACGATTAAATTATCGTTCTAAAAGAATGATGAAAAAATCGTTCATTTAAAACAATGAAGTTATCGTTCTAAACGAACGATAAGAAAATTATTTGATTGAAACAATTAAATTATTATTCCAAAAGAACGATAAAAGGATTGTTCGATTAGAACGATGAAATTATCATTCTAAACGATCCAAAATTTTGGATTAATCTGAAATTTTCGATTCAGTTCAGATTTTTCCAGTTTACGATTCGGTTCAGTTTCAAATTAGCATTTTTAAGATTTATAATCTGAACTAAACCAAACTGAAATTTTCAGTTCAGTTTCAAATTGGCCTATAATTCAGACTGAACTGAACTGTTCAGAGCATTATTCTATTTTTATCTAAAATTTAAAATTTCAGCAGTAACTGAATCTAAAATAAAGCAAAATAGCACAGTATTCTGAAAATATTATTTATAATCAATTGGACATAGTCTAATTGCAAGTTCTAATTATTCAATTGGATAATTGGACCTAAATATTAGTGTTCCTAATGAGTCAAGTTGAGTCGAATTTCAAGTCAAAATTATCATACATACCTTTAATTTAAAGTACTTATTTATTATATGTAACTAAAATTTACAATTATGCACAATCATGCGAGTCAAA